GTGCAAAATAAGAGAAAGAAAAGGTAAAAAATAGGTAAATTTAACATTTTCCCGCCGGGTTACTGTCGCACTTACTGTCGCACTCGTTTCAACTGTTTCCGGTTGTTTACGCTTTCAGATATTTGTTTACAAACATCGCATACACTTCGACTCAACCTTTTTTTTCTCTGACAAGGATAATAGGAAATTGAAACTTTATGAAATTTGTCTATAGAGCTGTGATTTCTTTTTTTAAACTCACTTTGTTGTTCACAATTTTTATGACATCTTGGAGCGTTTTAATCAATGCTCTGTTCATATCCGGATTTTCTTCTCCTGTCTGTAAGATTTTCGGAAATAATATCATAGAACACAAATTACATAGATATAAACTTTTGAACGACTAGGTTAAACTCTCTAACAACTTTTTAAAGGTTCGTGTGAATGATATCAAAAATGACCAACTAGCAAAAAACTGTATAGTAGTATCGAAAAAAAAGGACTATTTTTCATATCTTTTCACAGGAACCAAATAAATTGGATGAAAGTCCTCTACGTGTTGTTACAGCAACTCACCGATAGTTTGTGTTCAACTGCATGGAAAGCGTGGTTCATTTCAAAATATATACCACTTAATTTGGCCGCGTTTGCTTTCAGTTGCGCGCTTTTTTCCGTCTGAAATTATTCGAAATGTCATCTTCGAAAAGAAAATATAAGTTTTTTTTCAAAAACAAAGCAGTATTTTTAAGAATACCTCGAGTTCGGGCGGTTCTCCCTTGATTCTTACAACGGATGTTTCCATTTTGAACAGATTGAAGTTTTCTGAAATATTGAAAGTTTCTCATCAAAAATCAATTACTGATAAGAATAAATAGAGAAAATTTTGTTTCTTAGTTTCAAAAAAATTTTAACACATTCGAAGGGCGAAAATAAAAAGTGAAAGGGAATAAAAAATTACAAAAAGAGAAAAAGAGAGCAATGCCGAAAACAAAATGATCTCGACGATAAGATACTTTTTTCGCCAATCAAAAGAGAAAAAAAACCGATAGTGGTCCGTTTTCTTATCGAACGGATATTCATTAATTTGATGGAAAAAACGTTCGGTAAGAACTGATTCAACAAAAGTTATTAAATTGGAATTGGTCGCCAATTCCAATTTAGGCGTTTCACGCTTGTTTTCATATTTTGAGTTTGAGAAATCGAAGGAAAAAATTGAAGGGATTTTTGTAGATTATAAGTTTTGTTGTAGCTTGTAGGCAAATTACAGAAGCTAAAATTAGAAGAAAAGAAATTAATTTTTATTGAATGACAAAATTCCATACAAATACGAAATTCAGATTCATAAATTCATCATTCAAGAAATTTCAAAAATTTCTATAAATTCGTTTCTTTCAAAAATCTTTTGATTAGGGATTTTCAAAAATAGTATCAAATTTTCAGAAAATTCAGCAGTACTGGAAATCGCAAAAAAAAAAAACGGAAAATCCAAAAATTTTAACATAAATTTTCAACAATTCATTTAACCAGGATATTTAAAATTTCTCTATAGGCACTCTAGCAAATTGAGGATATTATCGAAAATTTGGAAATTCTGGACAGCTGTTTGAAAAAATTAGTAATGTCAAGTATTCTAAAATTTCAGAAAACTAAAATCCAGGATATTCTAGGAAAGTCACATTTTCCAATATTTTATTGCATTTTGCAAAATTTCAAGAAATTTCGGAAAATCAACAAGTTCAAAACTTACAAGCATTGAAATATGGTGATACACTTAAAAATTTCATCGAAAAGTGCTTAAAAATAATCCAGAAGTTTGGAAATGAAAAATGTTCCAAGTTTGGAAATAATGAAAGCAGCATTCTGACAAAATTTGACCGCCCGATTTGGTCTCGCGATCCTTTAACAAGCCAAAAATACTTTGAAACCAAATGAAAGTTACTGCTGACCCAATTTTCTCGAAACTTAAAAACGTCGTTTAGGAAAAACAGAAAAAATGTTCAGACTGGAAATTTCGTGGGCTTTCTACGAATGTCAGTCATGAATTGTAACTTGAATTCATGCCCAGATAGCTCCCGAGCAGTGTTTGCTACCGATACGGTTTTGGTAAATTTATCCAAATTTTTAACGATAAATTACCGGTTCTCTACCGGTGAAACTACTGGTAGAGTTACCGCAAACTTACCGAAAACTATCGGTAATTTTTCGAAAAATGTTCTGGTTTTTTTTTTAATTGGTAACCGGACGTATCAAATCATTTAGTATGGATCATTTCGTATCAGGGACAGTCAACTCTGAATTTTCTTGCGGAGCCCACAAAACCCCTGACAAAAGGTAATCCACAAAAGGAACCGTTGGTCACAATAATTCTTATTAACGTTCTTATCAAAATTCTAAAAGATAAGAAAACAATTATGTGTTTTGAATTTTAGAAATATGATAGAAGAATGAGTAGGGGCGAGAAAATAAATGTAAACGAGAGAGAAAGAGACTGCCGGAAAAGTGAAAGAGAGGGGAGGAGGAACGAATGTCCATTTGAAAAAAAGCGCGGGAAAAAAAGTGAACAAAAATGAGTGACAAGAAACAATTCTGGCGCTGAAAAAATTAAAATTTTAAAAATTGATGTGAAAAATTCACTGGAAACAATAGCACAGAAGCTCAGAAAGTTTGAGAATCTCAGAAGCGCGCCGCTGGATTGCAAATTCCTCATGAGGCGGCTGCAAGGGGCGTGGCCTATTTCGTGTTATGTTATAAGAGTGAAGCTCTAACAAAAAAGAACAAATGATGAAATAATAGAAAGGGGCTGAAGCAGCCTGACAACCATTCCTCCCTCAAGGCTATTATGACAGTTATGAGGGAGTAATGGCCACATTAGAAAGAGGCGTGGCTAAGGCGGGACGAGGAGGGACGAGGGAAAGAGGAGGAAGGAGAGAACAAGTTAGATGCTTGACTTTGTATGCTGAAACAAAAATGGCTTTCAAAAGGTCCGTGACGTCATAGTTGGCTGTCACTGTTCCTTTGGTATCCTGCGGAGAAGTACTCCGGTGTGAAACCGAGTACAAAACGCATGCGCGTTCCAATTCAGAAAAACGCTGGAAAAACTAGCGGTCAACGTGTTTTCAGTTGATGTTGACCATTTTCAGGTGTCTGAAGCTCGGCTGTTGAGTGTATGATCTCTTCTAAAACTGTGGAAGGTGAAAAACAGACCTAGCTTGAAAAAGTTTAACTTCACAGAATTTTTTGAAAAATCCTAGTTTTTCTGTTATTCGCCGATTTTTGAAGGACGCCCTGTTTTATCTTTTTTTGTACTAAACGCAAAAAAAGGAGGTGTCTTTCCGTAGTTTTTTTTTTTGAAATTTTCAGCATTCGGACTTTTTGAAATATCGAAATGTTTAAATTTTTCAGTTTTGAAAATTCGAATTATCAAAATTTTTAGTATTTGCGATATCAGAATTTCATGAATTTTGGAATTTCTCAATTTTTAGGAAACAAATCTTTCAAATTCCGGAAATACGAAAAATTCGGAAATTTGAAGCTTTTCTGAATTTGATGGATTTTTAGAATTTTGGATGGATTTTTAGAATTTCAATGTTTAGTGATCCTCGGGAACTTCGGGTTTTTTTTAATCTTGGAACATTTCAATGTTCAAAAGTCCGAGCTCTGGAATTCAGAATCTTGAATTTTGTTTTTATTGTGGAATTCTCAATTAAGACATCCTTGTTGGTAATTTATTCAAAAGAGATTTTGAATTTTTAGAAAACTTCCCGAGAAAAGAAAGAAGTACATGAAACAAACACCATTACACAAAAGATTCAATGGAAATCAAGAAGTCAAGTGATTGGAGAGGTGTGGGACATTTTTCAGAACATTTTTCAGAGGGGACTTCTGTTCAGCATTTTCCAGAAAAAACATGAATTTTTAAAAATAAATGAAAAATAATAACAATTGAATCAGGGAAGTGTTGGAAAGAATTTTCATAGCATTGGATAATTTCAAAAAAAATTTTTTTGAGAAGAGCAGAAATTAATTTTAAAGTTGTTCACCAGTTTCATTTGGGTACTCCCTAGTCAAGTATTCATAGACGTCCTCTGGTGTGGTGTTAGCCGGTAAATTCGAGTTGAAAACTTCCAAATAAGCTCGCATCACATTTATAATTAACTGCTGTCGTTCCGGATGTTCCTCTCCGATTCTTCTCAAATTATGTGAGATGAATCCAATGTCGACTTCCGGATTGAAGACAACGTTCTGTGGTCGTTGTGTTGGTGGACGCTGGAAATTCGATTTATTGAGACAAATATTTGAAATCTCGGATAATTGTTTAGTCGAAAATTTCGGCTCTTTATGACAAGGGGGGGGGGGATGAGAAAAAGGAGGGCCCAACTTTGAACATTTTTAATAATTTTTTTAAAATTTCAGTTTATGTCATTTCTTGCAATTTTTTCTTGCATTCTTCTGTTACTAAGCCTGAATAAATCTAAAACTAGCTGAATAATTTCAAATTACTCAGTTACAATGGAGAAAATAGTGTCATTCATGCAAGGAACCGGCATAAACTGAAATTTTTCAAAATGATGAACTTTTACGGAAATAAGCGCAAAGTACGAAATTTTCATAAAAACCTCCGAATAACTTCAAACAATTTTCTATTCTTGACTCAGTCGACATTTTAAATATGCATCCCCCCTTTTCTCATGGGCTCACCTTGTCAATTTCTAGCTTAGAATTTTCGTTTAATAAAAAAACCTTTTTTTTTCGAGCAAAAGTTTATTCTATTTTACCTGAGCTTCTGGAGGAGCTTGTCGTGCTTGAGCTTGGTTGTGAAGGCGCTCTTCTTGAAGATTCTGCTCTGGCTGATGCCATTGCTGCTGAAAATTTAAAAGTCATTAATTTCAACCTAAGTTTTCGGCAGTTTTTTTACATTTAGGAAAGATCATTAAACTCCATTTCAAAAAAAACCTGGCAATCTGAAGGTCAGGGGTTGAAATCCTGCCGGCAATAATTTTTTGTTTTTTTTTTCTAACTTCCGGTATATGATACCCATTATAGTTAGTTTTTTGAAACTTCCTGCCAAACTTACCGGAATTCGCCGTGCTTGATGACGTTCATCTTGCAGATTATGCTCTTGCTGATGACGATGTTGCTGAAAATTCAAAAATAAAAACTAAAAAATATAAGCGAAAAAAATCTAACTCACCGCTGGTTGTTGCATCGATTCAATTTGGTCTTGGTCCATCTGAAAATAAATGTTATATTAATTAGACTGAAACTTTTTTCTGACCACTTCTTTTTGGTAGTTTTAAGTCTCAGAAAAAAGATGCTTTGATAAAAATAAATATTGAATTTTTATAGGATAAAAGGGGCGAAACGAAAAAGAAAAAGGGAAAGAAATATGGATGAGGGGCAGACATGAGCGGAATTCCTTATTCCTTATTCCGGGTGTTTTTTCTATTCCTTATTCCTTATTCCTTATTCCGGATTTTAAATTTTTCATTCCTTATTCCTTATTCATTATTCCTGATTTTTTAATTGTTATTCCTTATTCCTTATTCCTGATTTTTTTTGTTATTCCTCTTCAAAAATTTTAAACTTTTTCTATCAAAAATCAGAAAAAAATTCTCAAAACTGGGAAAAAAAATTTGAACGCTCTAAATTGCCGCGTAAAATTTTTTTCAACGGAGCACCTTTGCACCGTTTTTCGAAAATTTTTTTTTGGAAATCTTGGAAAAGTTATGCGTTTTTCTCAGTGTTTTTTTCGAAATAAATTTGGTTTTTACAATTACTAAATACTTCTGAAAAAATGTCTAAAAAACGGAGCAAGTTTGACGAATTCTTCGTCAGAACAGAAAACGAGGCAACTTGTAAAGAATGTGACGCGAAAATTATTTGGACAAAAACGAGTGGAACGAATTCTGCTTCTTATCATTTGAGCAGATATCATCCGAAATTAAATGAAAAGGTTTTTTTGTCAATTTAAAAACGTGAAATTGGGAAATTTCAGATGAAAAAAAAACGGAAAGATGAAATCGAGTTAGCATCGCGAAAACAGAGTACAATTCCGTTTCCTGTTAGTATGAAATTCTGGCTCTAATATGAAATTCTGGTCCTTAAAATGTGTTAATGTAAATGTATATTTTTCATCTGAAAATTTCGTAAAATCCATGAATTTTGTTGTTTTAGTTTGTGTTTAAGAAGTTTTCATGGTAGACATTGAAATTTTGTTATTAGAAAGATAGTAAATGTTGCAAGTATCAAAGTAAAGTGCCCCCATGGTCCATTTTCTAAAGGAACATCAGAAAAATTGAAAATATACATATTTTGAGTTCCACCAAATTTGAAAAATGCTAGTTGGTAATAAATAAACACTGAGAGGACTATCTCTACCAGATTCCGCAGGTCGAGTACGTTCTAAGTATTAAGTGTGTCTATTTTGATCCTCCTTTAGAGATATAAAATTTTTTATTGAATCTAATCTGTTAACCATAGTTTCAAAAGATATTTTTTCGAGAAGGCTGTCCTGATGGCTTTACATAAAAGATAGTTTAGTTTTTTATTCAAAAACATGTAAACGCCTGAAGCTTCTTGAATTAGTGTGAAAGCTCATATTCATATTTTCATTATTCTAGATGGTTCCTACGACCTATGAACAGAAGTACCCCATTCTACACCATACATCCCGTAAGAATTATTACTTTTAAACTGATAATGACTATTGCACTACAAATTTGTACGCAAAATCTACATTTTGAAGTTTCGGATTCCGATATATTTTTTCTCTTTTAGGTAAAGCCATCAGGACAGCTTTTCCGAAAAAAATATGTTTTGAAACTATGGTTGACAGATTAGATCCAATAAAAAATTTTATATCTGTACAGGAGGATCAAAATACACACACTTAATACTTAGAACGTTACTCGACCTGCGGAATCTGGTAGAGATGGTCCTCTCAGTGTTTATTTATTACCAACTAGCATTTTTCAAATTTGGTGGAACTCGAAATATGTATATTTTCAATTTTTCTGATGTTCCTTCAGAAAATGGACCATGGGTGCACTTTACTTTGATACTTGCAACATTTACTATCTTTCTAATAACAAAATTTTAATGTCTACCACGAAAACTTCTTAACCACAAACTAAAACAACAAAATTCATGGATTTTACGAAATTTTCAGATGAAAAATATACATTTACATTAACACATTTTAAGGACCAGAATTTTTTTGGACTGGAATTTTTTTTAAGGACCAGAATTTTTTCTAAGGACCAGAATTTTTTCTAAGGACCAGAATTTTTTCTAAGGACTAGAATTTTTTTAAGAACTAGAATTTCATACTAGAGCCAAAGTTTTTTCTTCAAAAAAAAACTCAGTTTCCAGGATAAAAAGCCGATATTTCTATTCATCGAAAGGACTGGATCTGTTGGTGACGAATTTGGAAGAACGAGTTAAATTGGATCTGAAAAAATGCCGAGGAATTATCAATGACGTCAGACGGATGGAACTCCCAAGGCAAAAAGCATTCACTGCTTTCCTTGGCAGGTTTTTAGTGGAGTTTTCGATTCAAAACTATAATGATTTCAGCTCATTGGATTCACAAAGAAACATTCCAGCCATGTTTCGCAGTACTTGGAAGCATGCCAGTAAGTGGAAGACATACGGCTATAAATTTTTCAGAGCTAATCACAAAAAATTTGGACAAATTCAATATTGATAAGAGCAGTGTTGTTTGTATAACTCGCGATGGGGCGACTACGATGAGCTCTTTATGCTCAAATCTGAACATGAAAAGCATTCACTGCTATGCTCATCTTCTACAGCTGGTAAACTTTTCTTACTAAGGAAGGTTGTAACTAGGATATGGGAATTCGATAAGAGACCTATATCATTCGAAAGCTGAGAATGAGACATTTTCAAATCTATATTCAGATTTTGCTGCGGGCTCACCAGTTTCGAGAAAAACAGGTTTGAAATTTGACTCAAATTTGAATCCGCCGAGCGCCTCATCTTCCCTCTTTCTTATACGCATTGGGAGAAGGGAGGAAACCAGCGAAGTGTGGTGTAGTGGCGAGGAGGGAAGGGAATTCCTAGAATTCCTAGAATTGTAATTCTTAAAAAAAAAGAAACTGTCGAAAATACCTGTCTCCAATTTTTCTTTAACAATTTCGTAGAGATTTTGTGATTTTGTTTATTAGTTTTTTAATTCTAGTTTGAAAGTTCTTTCTAGATTTTTCTAGTTTGCTGTTCTTCTTAATTCTAGTTGGAGACTTCCTTCTTCATTTTTTAGTTTCTGTCGCTCTAGGTAGTTCTAATTAATGTTTGTTGCTTCAGTTAATTCTAGTTAATTTTTTGTTGCTCTTGTTAATTCTAGTTTGAGAGTTCCCTCTCCATTTTTCTTGTTTGTGTCTCGGTTGTGAGTTCTCTCTTCGTTGTTTGTGTTTAAAAATAAACAGTGTTTTTCAAGACAAAAAGAAATCTTCCTTCGTTCGGAATTCCTTATTCCTTATTCCGGATGTTTTTTCTATTCCTTATTCCGGATTTTAAATTTTTCATTCCTTATTCCTTATTCCTTATTCCGGATTTTAAAATTGTTATTCCTTATTCCTTGTTCCTGATTTTTAAATTTCATTCCTTCTTCCTTATTCCTTATTCCGAATTTTCAAAATTTTTATTCCGCTCATGTCTGATGAGGGGTCAGGTGCGAGCCTTATATGTGACAGTCCGATGGGGAGGAGCCGCGCCATTTTATGCGATGCCCTGATAGACTGTGGAGGCTAGGTGGTACTCGGCTCTCTCTTTATGGCGCCGAGTGAGGGGCTAGAAAAACGACCGTTAAAAAGTCATAACATGTGAGATCTTTATGACCACTATTTTAAAAAAAACCCTACGGGATACTGTAGAATCTCTTTTCGAAAGTGATCTTTGGACAGTGGGCTTGAAAACAATTTTCAGCATTTTTTGTCACAATTTTAAAAATGAGCAAAAATTGAACATCAAAAAAAGGCTATTCACAGATTTTTTCATTTTTTGATGAATTAGGTAGACGGATGACAGCGTCCAAAGAGCAAAAATGAGCAGTATTAAAATTCGCTGGTGCTTTAACCTCGTTGTTTTTGTAACTTTCAGTATTTGAAGTCATTTATAACTTGTTTTTCAAACTTTCCGTCTAATCTTACCGGATTTCTTCTCGGCTGATGACGCTCCTCCTGCTGATGATGCCATGGTTGATACTGTTGTTTCTGAATATTCAAATAAACAATTTTCCACAGAAAATAATTCTAACTTACCGCTTGTTGTTGCATCAATTCCAACTGATTGTGGTACAACTGAAAATATATAAAAAAATTATTTGTTTTACATTAAAATGACAATTTTTCATTTTCGCTCAACAGGATAGAGAAGTGACTGGAGAACTACCGGCCAGTGGTTCGAACCCCACTGGCGTCAAAATTTCGAGATTTTTTTGACAATTTTAGGTTTAAAAGTAGTGGTATAAGAAACATTTATGGTACTTATACCCAAAAATTCACCAAGTTTTTTGGTTTTGTCGGCGATGAAAATTTCTCAACGTTTTTGGCCGGCTCATTGAATCGATTATCTGCAGCTATTTCCTCTTCTCGTACTTCCACTTCGTTTTCAACCAACAAGTCATCCTCGTAGATCATCCGTTCTTCGATAACATCTTCGAAGTCCTGGTCTTGATTTTGATGAACATGTTGCTGCTGATCATCATATTCAAAATTCTCCTCGATAACCATATCATCAAAGTCTCCGATTTGATTTTGACGAAAATTGTGCGGATGATGATTTTCTTCAAATTCCTGGGCATCATCTTCCTCCACCTCCTCCTCACTATCTTCAATCGTAAAAACAATTGGCTCTCCGCTTGCATCAAAGCAATCTTTTGTACGACAATTCGTGATATGCTTCTGAAGTTTTTCTCGGAAGAATCGGAGGGCAAAGTGTTCGGGGAAGGTCCAAAGATACCTCTCCAAGTCCTCATCCCAAATAACTTGCTTGGCTTTCTTGGCTGCAGCAATTTTTCTTTGAATCCGATCCCGAAGAAGTGTACGGCCACGATGGAAGATTTTGGCCATGGTTGGCACTGCAAATGTGGACTTTTTTCATTTGCAATATAAGTTATATTTGACTGATATGTATTTTTTTGAAAAGTTGCAAAAAAACTACAGAAAAGAGGCAAAAATGCTATAACATGGTGCCTGTATTGTTGGTGATTTTTGCAATTTGAAAACAATTTTCGGAACATTTCGTGATGATTCTCAGAGTCAGCACAAAATTCAACATCGATAAATAACTCATTTACAGGGTGGGGCAAAAGTTCTGTAACGAAAGTTTTGACGCAAGCTGGCGCGGACGGACGCCCTTCGCCTCTTGATTTAATTTTTTAATTGTTCCTCGTCTCTTTATTAGTAGATTTGCCTAGTTTCATATTCATATCTTAATTTTTACGAAGATGGCATTCCATTCTGTACAACTACTTCGGTTTTTTCCTGTTTTTGCGAATCCTTGTGAGCAAGCAAGCGAGCCAGGAATACTAGTTCTAGTCAAAATAATTATGCCTAAGTCATCGTGCCGTGAAGCTCGCAAAATTAGACTACCCAAATATATGTAAAACCTGCTCATACAAAAAACATGTTCTGCGGGAAGTGCTAAAATCAATTGTTCCAACTTGACATCCAAAAAAAAGGTCTGTCTTGCGTCAGATGACAATTCGATGATGATTTCGGTGCAGGAAAATCTTTAGGAACATGTTCAAGTTTGTTTTCATCCAATTTTGGGTGGTATCAAATGTAGTTTCCCCGCCGAACGAGAAAATTTGCCGAAGACTACCCCCGTGCCGTCATAGGCGCTACTCGAAGAGTTTGACTCCCGCCATCAAAAACAAAGCTAGCGGTAACGAATAATCAATATATAATTTTGTCATAAATCCCTTTGATAAAGTCCTGGTAAAATTTGACCCGGATTGTATTATCCGAGAAGTTATGATGTCTTCCTTTTGTTACATAACTTTTGCCCCACCCTGTAAACTTTAGTCTCAACGGGGTTGAAAATTGACTAGCGATCTAAAGGTCAAGGGTTCGAACCACAATAAGACCAAAACTTTTAATTATTCTTAAGAACATTTTCAGGTTTTGATCGTCGGAGGACTAAAAATGAGCCGTTGAACTTGGTATTTTCCTAATAATCGGAGTTAAAAATGATTTTTCATGTTATATTTTTTAGATTTTGCATTATATTCTACATCGAAAAGACCTTTACCAATTCTTTTGCTCAACTGTGTACAGATGGGTTACTGGCAATCAAGAGGTGAAAGGGTCAAGTCCACGCAGAGTCAAAATTTTTTGTTTTTCATTTTAAAACAAATTTTATGTTATGAAACTATTGAAAACTGCTCAAACGCCCCAAAGATCCTTTCAATCTTACAACATGGTTTATTCTGGTTATTTTTTTTGCAAAAGATTCAAACTGTTTTAGACAGCTGTTGCTTGCTTCTTTGATTTCAACAACCACAAAAAACTCACTGTTCACTAAGGATCCAGTCCTATTGAAAGTGGCAGCTCCAACTGTGGCCCACGAATTGTTCCTTCTGCTTATTTTGTTGTTTTGCCAGATTTCTGGGACCTTTTCAATTTCTTGAAGGACCACATATCCGAGTTTCTCGTCTCGAAAAGCGGATGGATCAACTGTCTGTTTCCCACTATTCCGGAATGTTGCTAAATATTCTTTGAAATCCATATTCCGTCCTTTAGTATCTTCTGGCAGTTCTGGAATCCAGGCTCCGGGTGGCGGTGGTTGCTTCCATGCGGGAACTTCCAACTTCACGGTGGCGGTAAGCATTTTTGATGTTATCTGCAATTTTTTACTGATAAGAAGAAAAAAGGAGAAAAAAGTATAAATAAGGATATAAACTGTTCTTCCATCAAAAAAGTCACAAAAATCCAGTTTTGATTACCTATTTATAAATTTTAGTATTTTTAGCTCAACTGGGTAAAGAAGTGACTGGCGATATAGAAATTAAAAGTTTGAATTCCGTTAGTGTCATAGTGTTTGGTTTCTTTTTGAAAAATGTTTAGTGTTTTGACTATCTCAGAAGCCCTTTTTTAGATATTTATATTTTTACTCAAAAAGGCAACACAAAAAGAACTCTAAAAAATTTCAAAAAGGCTTTAATAAGATGGGACACGCTTGAAAACGTCCAGAAAAAAAAACGAGACGGTGCATAAAATGACTATAGAAAAAAAACAAGAGCGAGTCACAACGAAAGAAACGTTAGACACAGAATGTGCGTTCTCCTCTCTCTCTCAGTGGAACGGGGAGTCTCCAAGAGACGAGAGAGTGCGAAAAAGAAGAGACATAGAGGACAAAGAGTGTGTGTGTAAGTTTGATCTGGCCTGGTGTGTCCGAGAGGGGTCCGATGTCGTCCTCCCCAAAGGAACCAAAACGACGCACTCTCTCTTCTCACGCGTTTCATAAAGGGGCGTGTCACTTTGCAACCTGCGGCGTGCCCACGTTTTATTGAATAGACAGTATCTTATGCAGATATCTATGTAGATTCCCATAAAAATGAAGAAAAAATGTTAAAAACCCCTTTATTGAGAAAAACGGCATCAAAAAGTCAAAGTGGGGACTAGTGGCTGAGCGAAAAAGCGGGGGTTTTTAGGTCAACTGAACGTAAAAGCGCGAGAGATTTGAATTCATATTGATTTTAAGCGTTTTCTCAGATTTTTTTTCAGTTTGTTTTTAATATACTTGCGAGAAAATCAACAGAAACCCTAAAAAAATATTTTGAATAATTTGAGAAAACACTGAAAATCAATAAAATTTCAAATTTCGCGAGATTTTACTGTCAGTTGACCTAGGAAACCCTAACTTTTTGACTCGGCCACCAGTTCCGACTTTGACTTTTTGATGCCGTTTTTCTCAATGAAGGATTTTTTTTCAAATTTTCATAATTTTTATGGGAATCTACATAGATATCTACATAAGATAATGCTATACAATTTAATTATATATCATAAATTGAAAAAGACATGAAAAAAAATTGAATGTGAAAAGTGAAGAGGCGCAGGTTTTTTCTATTTTTTTTCTCAAAATAAAATTAAAAACGTAACAACTTCGGAATTTCTAAATTTTAGACTTTCGAATTTTCGTATTTTCTAAAATCTCATAAATCTAAAATCTCATAAAAAAGTTCAAAATTGGAAAATTCCAAAATTGAAAAAATCCAAGTTTTGAAAAATTCCGAAAATCCAAAAAAAAATGTTGTCTAGGCATTTTTTCAAAAAAATTGATGAAGATTATTGATTTCTACACATAATCCCCACAGTTTTTTGAACTATTGGAACCACCTTCTCTCCCGGCCATATGAAAATATCATGTTTAGACTCAGCTAGCCATGACTCAGATTATAAGTTTAACTTTTTCCAAATTTTGCTATGCAGATTTCCGAAATGACCGGGGGAGGGGGGATTTCTCTTTGCTGTACAAGGCATATGTGTGTTTTGTCGGTCCCAGGGAATCAAACTCTTCTCTGGTTCCAGTTAGCCGAACGTTGAGTTAGTATTTTTTTAATTTGAGAAGCCTGAATTTCTGAATTTCCCAAATTCAAAAAGCATTAAAAAATATGAGCTCTGAATAAAAACCTCTATAATTCTAAAAGAAGGTTTGGAATATCTGAGATCCTGATTTTTTTGAAATTGTTATCTTGTGATAACCTTTCTTTTTCGAAACAATTCAACGAATTTCGAAAGTCGAATTTGTTCATTTATTTCACGAACTATAAATTGCAAAATGTTAGGATTTTACTTCTTTGAGTTTCAGTGTTCGAATTATTTTAATATTTTAATTCAAGTTTTCGCAATTCACAAATTATTATATTTCCAAAAATTCTATTCCTATTATTCATTTTGCAGCTTCTTCTCTCACGAAGAGAATCAATATAAAATTTGTATCCTTCAAACACTGTTTTCTTTTTTCTAGAAGCTTCTTTCTCAGTCTGTGTTCCCGTCCCCCATCGCGTCTTTATTGGCACACTCACTGCTATTTATGCCTGCGTCTCACTTGGGCTTTGAAACTTCTCCTATTCTTCTTTTTTCTCCCAATTTTCTTTTCGCTTATACATATTACTTACTCTCATTCTACAGAATTGGAAATTTGTCGTTCAGCAAAACTACGGTTCAGAGAACTATATAAATTAGTTTCTCGGTTATTTTTCAGAAAAAAATGCCTGAAAAACATCAAAAATTTCAAATTAAATGAAATTCTAAATTCCTATCAAAACAATTTAGGATCTTTGCAAAGTGAATTGCAAATTTTTTTTCTCTTTTTTTCTTTTTTTTTTCTTTTATCTTTTTTCACTACCCTGGTTTTCCTCATTTTTCTTTTTTATAGTTATTAGAGGTCTGATAAGAAACACTATCTAAATAAAAGTAAATTCTACTCAATTTATGTATGTCGGGGTCTTTTGACTACACAAACATAGATATCATGCATATTTACTCCGAATTCATTATCAGTACTTTCTGTATTAAATTAATTCTACCTCACAGCGATTTTTTTCAAATCATTGAGCATCAATTTGTTAACTCTCTTGCTAGATAAAAAGTTGTTTCATTATGTGCAGGTCGCGATTTTTTCAAACATATTAAGGTTCAGGCTTTCAGATTTTTTTTCCGAAATAATTTTTTTTTCAAAATAATTTTTTTCCGAAAGTCATTTCAGAAAAAAATTTTCAAATGCAAAGATCTCGGGTTGTTTTTGCAAGTCACGGTATTCACTATCTCATATTTTCCGTGTTGACTTATGATATTAACAATTCAACCATCCTGATCATCAAAGCTTCTAATACTTAAACTATAATCATAAAAATGCATGCAATAGTAAGTTGATCCAAACGCGCCCCGTTGCACAAATGAACGACCTTGTGTGTTTTAGTCCGCATAACCGTTTCGATCCCCCTACCAATAAACTCCCCCTTTGCTCTGACGACCTCTATCCCCTTGCTCTGATGACCTCTATAGGTGTCTATGCCAATCGATTGACTTTGAAAAAACAGTTACTTTTTTTCATGTGTGGTATCATTTTTTCTGAGATTTTGATGTTTCGAAATTCAGAATTAGAATTTCAAAGTTTCAGCCTTTTCAGTAATTCAGATTCTCTTGTTTGCAATTATACGAATTTTTGATTTACAGGATTTTGAAGTTTGAAAATTCAGAATATCCCGAGATTTTCAATTTCTTGTAATGTAATGCCGCGTTCAAAGTTGATTTCCAAGAGAAATTTCCTGGAAAGACGCTGTCCAAAGCTGCCATTGTTTTCCAGAGGCCTTAGCTTCGATACCCGCCGTAAATCGACACGAACTACCATTTTCAACAGTAA